TCGCCTGGCAGGGGGATTACGGTGAATTCGTCATTAAAGACCCGGAGGAGGTGGCACGACTGTGGGGCGCCCGCAAGTGCAAGCCCCAGATGAATTATGACAAGCTCAGCCGAGCACTCAGGTGAAGACTAAATCTGCTTATAAAATCCCATCGCAATGGACAATAACATTGTGTATTAGAAGGACCTCTGCCGCTTTAAATACTCGCGCTTTAAAGTCAGATGGATTCTGATTGGCTGTCAGTCAAGTAATTCCAATAATATATCTGTTTCTCATTATCATTATAGCGGTGATGTGGATGCCGCTGTTGTCATTGAATTAGAATGATTACTAACACATTAGTTATATAGTTAGCATTGTAGTCGTCCTTGGTGTGAATGGGCCTTATCACTTTTGGTAACATGACAACTTAAGATAGCACGCTAGCTTAGCAAGAAGCTGACACACTATGCCAGTAGATAGTAGATATATACTGCATATTCAATCATGTCATCATTCAGTTGTGCTTAGAGTGTCAACTTGACATGCTAGCATAAATGTAGAACGTTAGCTTAACAAAATGCTAACAACCAGACTGATGATGCATATTTATGCTAACATAAAATAGCATCATAGATTAGCAACTTGACAACATCAGATTATTGACATCAACTGTGAATTTTAGTCAAGTCTCTCTTGTGGTTCATTTTAGTGTTTGTGTGGTAACCATTAGCTGAGTTGCTTCCCATGAAGAGCAGTTCATCTCTCTCACTTTAGTCCATTTCAACTTGCTAGAGTTTGGAATAAAGCTAATGAATTTTGTACAAAATCAGCATTTTGTAGCTGTAAACTAAAGCTTCCAGCTCAAGGTAAAGTAGGCTAATAATGCTGCCAGTTTTATCTTTGCTCAGTCTAGAGCGCTTTGTTTCTCTGATGATTTTATGTGCTCTTGTTCTATTTACTGACTTTGTGTTGATCAACATTTTATGTCTTTCTGTGTTAGTGTTCCTCCCAGTATACCATGCCTTTTCCTTTTTCTGTCCTCGTCTGTCATCCGCAATCTGCCTGTTTGTCTGTCTCTTCGTGTTATTCAACACTTTGGACCGGTCACCATGGCAACCTGCAGATGCCCACTCAAACCTTCTGAACCTGCCTTCACCATCCCAGAATAATCAAGCCCACTTAGCGCTCATCAACCATCACTTACAGGACTAGTGTGCGTCCTGTACTTCCGAGAACTCTTTTCATTTCTCAAAGAGAAATATGGACATATGAATGAAAGAGGAAGGGAGGGGGAAGAAGAAAGGCAACAGAAAGCTGTGTACAGTTCAGATGTGAACCAGAAAGTTCTTCAGTGTCACAGCAGAGATCGCGGAGGGAATTTGCCTCTGTTCAACACATGTGGAGGACACAAAACATGTCCTCTAAGTTAACTCTGAAAAATATGCACACGCACACATACATTCTACTGTGACCTCACATTGACTTATTCAAGCTCTGTTCAAAGGGTTAGTTCACCCAAAAATTAAAATTCTGTCATTAATTACTCACCCTCATGTCGTTCCACACCCCTAAGACCTTCGTTCATCTTCAGAACACAAATTAAGATATTTTTGATCAAATCCGATGGCTCAGAGAGGCCTCCGTTAACAGCAACACCAACCAAACTCTCAAGATCCATAAAGGTACTAAAGACGTCATTAAAACAGTCGACGTGACTACAGTGGTTCTACAATAATTTTATGAAGCGAAGAGGATACTTTTTGTGCGCAAAACAAAACAAAAATAACAACTTTATTCAACCACCTCTGAACAGATGGACTTTAATTTCACCTCCAAATTTATAGCTAATCCTAGAGATTCACATACGTTTGCTACTCACAGATATGTAATATTGGATCATTTTCCTGAATAAATAAATGACATATATAAAAGTATATATTTTCATCTCATTTGTTTGATTGGGTTCTCTTTGTCAACTTTCAGGACTTGCATGAAAATCTGATGATTTTTTGGGTTATATTTATGCAGAAATATAGAAAATTCTAAAGGGTTCGCAAACTTTCAAGCGGCACTGTACATATATATGATACATATATTCCATTATCCTTCAAAATATGAAAGACGAAACAAAATGTTGATGCTTTACTCATCCAGGAAAAAGTATTTTTAATGACAGTCCTGTAGTGTATATTACAAACCTCACGTTTAAAAAGATTGGTTTTCCCTCAGGGTGTATATATTAACGATGAATGCATTTAGCGAACAGTCTACGTAGACCACTTCCTTGCCAGTACAATGGAAATGTCCCTTCTTCTTTTTTCTTTTTTTTTGCTTTGGGGGAGCTCAAGGAAGTGTAGGTTCAATGGGAACTTCAAGGTCCACATTCTTCTTTAAGTTCCTGTAAGGTTTCCAAGAGTTTTGAGATGCGAGGGCAACCACCTACAGTCGCTACCAGGAACTTACAGATCAGGAAGGAAAAGTTACCATAACAGATTTTTTTTTTCGGTTTAAGACACACCCTTAATTTCCCAGTTCACAATACGTATTTGCATGCTCCTCTATTCAGATTTTTAAAAAATATGCACTTTAAAGGCAATGCTAAACAGTTTATGATAATCGTCTCTACTTCCTTTTATTTTCGTGTGTGACAAGAAGAGATATCCGCGATCACTAGCAGATATCGATGATACTGGTGGTCATATACAAACCGATGGCTTTCATTCAGTGTACATTAGATAATTAAAACTACATTTATTATAAGTATAATTTAAAGCAGCTATGTCTATTTTCAGTAGATGTACATATTATAAATATAATCTATTTATTATAAAATATATAGGCCTAGATGTAAACTAAATATAAGGATTATATAAAATACGTCGAAATTTTTAATTTAATGCAAGTTGATTAGTAATGTGTCCACTAGAGGGCATAACAATCAAGCAATTGTGGGTCACAAAACAGAAGACATCATTGGTTACTATATGTACCCTGTAAAAAACACACACAAAAAAACCAACAACAATAGACACCGTCACAAAATTTGTAATGGTTGTACTGGTTATGATGGGAATTATTTTTATATGATAGGTTTTATTAGAAAGAGTAATGGACCCTGTGGGTTTCTACTGGTAATGGTCACCTTCTATTGTTGGCTTGTTAAAACCATTAAATCCTAACGGAATATGTCCCAAAACACACTACAGAACACCATTTTTAATGGTTTTAATGGTTAAAAGTTGATGGTTTGTAATGGTATTTGTAGTGGAAACCATTTGAATTTCTGTGATGGTTTCTATTGTTTTTTTTTAGCAGGGTAAACACACAGAAAGCCAGAATGCTTAAGACACCACTTTTACAACAGAAGGTTTAGAGCTTATCCATTATCCACACATTATTATTACAGTTATAACATAAATAGACGCTGAGTTGCAGGACATGCACTGGACTCTCATTTCCGCTTGTCTTGATGCAGCTAACATTTCATTGATGCAAACGTTGCAGATGTTTTGTAATATTGCACCAAATCAACCAAGGAAACAAAAACATATGTAAACTTTGAAGCAGAGATAACAGTTGCCAATCATGTATGATTTAATTTGTTAAATATGTGTACAGTATCTCACAGAAGTGAGTACACCCCTCACATTTTTGTAAATATTTTATTATATCTTTTCATGTGACAACACTGAAGAAATTACACTTTGCTACAATGTAAAGTAGTGAGTGTACAGCTTGTATAACAGTGTAAATTTGCTGTCCCCTCAAAATAACTCAACACACAGCCATTAATGTCTAAACCGCTGGCCACAAAAGTGAGTACACCCCTAAATGTAAAAGTCCAAATTGGGCCCAATGTGTCAATATTTTGTGTGGCCACCATTATTTTCCAGCACTGCCTTAACCCGCTTGGGCATGGAGTTCACCAGAGCTTCACAGGTTACCACTGGAGTCCTCTTCCACTCCTCCATGACAACATCACGGAGCTGGTGGATGTTAGAGACCTTGCGCTCCTCCACCTTCGCTCATGGGCTTTGAGGGCATCTGTCAAGCGTTGCTGTTCCTCTAACAAAAGCTGGACTTCCTTCCTCAGCAGGCTGTTCTCCTGTTCCAGACATTCATATGCCTGGTTACTAACCATAACCATGACTTAATAATTCACTTGTATGTTGACAGAAAACACTGCATACTGAACTCAAAAGCTAATATTTCAGAATAAAAAAAAATAAAATTTGCATGCTGCTAGTATGCATAAATACCTTGCATGTTTACAAGTATACTTAATTTATCCTTAAATGGAAATTCGGACATCATGAGCATCAAATGTAAGCGACTCTATCTAGACATAAACTCAGTTGACATTGTGCCTGTGGACCTTGATGTTGAGGTCATACCACAGTTCAAGACAGGGCACAGAGTCTCATGGGCTTTGAGGGCATCTGTCAAGCGTTGCTGTTCCTCTAACAAAAGCTGGACTTCCTTTCTCAGCAGGCTGTTCTCCTGTTCCAGACATTCATATGCCTGGTTACAGAACATTTCAGTATGTTAAAAAACCACATCAATCATATGCATCAATGAGCATTTGATGTTTTTTCCAATGTCTGCCCACAATTACCATCATATGTCTTCATGGGGCAAATAATCATTCTACCTGCAAATTTACTGAGAAGTACAAATGCTGAAATCAACATCTTTTATATTCTATATAATGTGCAGCTTGCAAACCTCATGCAACTCATCAGCTCTCTGAGTTTGTCTTTTACGGCTCCTCTGTGCAGCAACTCGGTTCTTTTCTCTTCTTTTCGACCTTTTCTCTTCATCATCAGAGCTCTGAATCACAATCATATGTTATGGTTGTTATTATATGTTGTTTCCTGAACATTAATGAGCAGGATTATCTCATTACAACAGAACAAATCACAAACAGTAAACCACAAAATCATTTTGGGTGGCACAAATCAGAAAGATGAGAATGTATCTGTTATAGAATGCATATTAGTAATTAGGCACATTTTTATTTTAGGTTATAAACTTATTTTGTAATTACGTAGAGAAAATGAAACAAGAATAAAGAAGCCTCACATACCTCACTCTTGCGAAATAACTGGAAATCTGGAGCATCATTTCGTGTAAAGTTACTTGTCGCACTGAAAAGTGACATGACAGGTGCAAAAGAGCACGAGCACAATAAAGACTTCCGTTCACGAAATTTGATGGAAAATGAAGGCGAACTATTATGTCGTTTTAATTAGCGCATAGTTAGGCATGTTTACACTGTCAGTCAACATCCCTCAGTAACATTTCTTGCAAATGCCTTCGGCGGATGTTCTTTGAAGTCACGTGGTGCTCTCGAAAACTCCAATAACTTCAGGCGGTGCGAGTGTTTTTGTATTTTTAACGCTTTTGGGTCATTCCTAGAAATTACTCTCTTTTCCATTTTGAAAAGGTGATTTCTGAAAGCTTGCTTTTTAAAAATTTTTAAACAGGCAATGAAAGTCCTTATGAGTAAAAACAAGTGGGCTAACGTTAATAGCCTATGGTCGTATATGGTTATGCATTACAAAAGGTAATATGATTGACAGTTTCAGTTTGGCCATTTCTAGTCTTGCGCTCAAAGTGACACTATAGTAAGTTTATCAGAAGTAGAATTTAATCCTATCAGAATTTAATCAATCAGTTTACTTAACACATTTAGGCAGTTATAAGATATTGGCATATATACAAGATATTTGTAAATGTGTTTAGAATTTTGTTTTTAATCATTGTTCACTTATGATACAAAAAGGGCCGTTAGTCCATGTTTAATTGGCTCATTTGTTTAATAAAAACGTGTTCAGTGCCAGTATTTGGAAACCAATGCTGGTAGACCAACAACACCTTGTGGTATGAACCTGGACCACATCAGCACAACAGTTCTCTAAAAAAGTAATTTATTGTAATGGAAAAAGAAATTGGTGTAGCACTTATTTTTCATTTTTAACTATATGCACAAAGTATTTCTTGAATATTTATTTGGTTGCGTATTTGCTTTGGGTAAGAGTTGCGTTTGCAGGCGGTCTCTACAGTTTTCTCATCCAGAATGTCATTTATTGTGCTGTCATAGTCTGAACATACAAAGTAATGGTTAATAATGTCATGGCTTGGGTTTGCAAAAAGTGTAATGAGTTCTCTAAAACTGACAGTAACTTACCTTCACAATAATCCTCCGACACCTCGTCCCAGGACAAGCCAGCAATAACTAGATTTTCTTGCACTGTGAATTCAGAGTTCTAAATGATAAAACAGACAAATAAAGTGAATGAAAAAACAAAAACACAGCAACAACAGCAGACGTCGTTGTCATAAATAACTCCCATAATTGGTTTCCACAAAAATACCACAGGTAAAACAGATGGTGTTTCTACAGTAAAACCATCGTACACTTAATAAAGACGAAAAATAATTGAACTGACATCTCTTTTTTTCTACTAGACTTACCACAACCATTTCTTGCAGCAATTTAGCTTTGTCCTCCTCGGAAATGTGGCATTGGCCATCGAGCAACTTTTTAAATAAGTCTTTATACTTTTCAAGCTGTTCACGAACGTGTTTTTTCGACTTGACATTTACTCTAAAATCTGCCCCGCTCTCACGATCTGCCTCCATGACTGCCGCAGCGCTTATTTTTCAAAATAACTCCTGGAAACGGAAGCAGAATGTGTTACAACGAAACAAACCCTGAGAGAAACACTTCAGCGGAAGAAACGTTCCGATCTCCATCGTGAAGACGCCGAACGGACAGAAAATGCCGTGGAGATCATGAAAACAAGAGGTTTAATAACACGTTTTATTGACAAATTTACACAGAAACGTGCTCAAAATATTTTATATACACTAACATCATGGCTAGAGGGTTTATTGACTGTCACTGTCACCTGTCAGCAAATGAGTTTACACAGGTAAGAAATTGCGAAATTCTTATCTTTAAGCCATAAACACAATGTCTTTATGAGCGGATCCATCACCGCTTTGTAAATGTGTAATACAGTCTTACAGAAAAACCCCACCTAAACCAGCCTCAGCAGGTTTGCTTGTCTCAACTGGTTTAAGTTGTTTATTTTTTTCAGCAGGTAGTTCAGAGTGATCTCATTGATTTGCACAGTACAGTATTAGTACAGTATTTATAATAAATTGGGCCACTTTTTGGCCGGATGAAGTTACAATAATAAAATCAAAGACAAATGCTATTATATAATATTAAATGTAAACTGTTGTAGGCTATGTTGTCAGTATCATTGTGTTTATGTAAACTATATGCAGACAAGGGGTTTGTTGCCACACCAAACAGAAATCATCTGCACAGATGTTTACAGAATCTAGTTTATATATTAAGTTATTTTAAATGTTTTTCCATAGGATATAGATGATGTCCTTTTGAGAGCTAAAAAGGTAAGCTTTTGTCAATCCTAAGAGGACAAATCAATAAAAGCTGACAAACAAGACTCTAATGTTGCAACAATGACCTCTTCTGTTTAATTAATGTAATTTTAGGCTGGACTGAAAGCTCTTGTGTCAGTTACAGAGGGAGCCAGTGAGTTTGAGAAAGTTATTCAGCTGTCAAAAACGTAAGCTTTGTATGAGAACATTCTCACTGAGGAGTTTGGAATGACAGTGTTCCAGCTGCACACACACCACATATGCTTACACAGCAATGGACACATGCAGCTTTACTAATATTGTTTTTGATATAGCTATCCTGGTTTTGTGTTCCCTTGTTTTGGCATTCATCCCCTTCAAGGATCAGGGGAAGACTTGCACAGTGTCAAGATTCAGGTGAATATAACATAACATGACATAGAAAGATAGGTTTACCATGCTTCATGTGCTATATTGTGACCTTTTAGTGCAAAAATATTAGTTTTGTTTTAACAGGACCTGGAGCCATTCCTTCCTTTGTTCCAGAAGTACAGAGCTGATATTGTTGCAGTCGGGGAGGTAAAATAAGATATTATCTTTTTTGGACAATTTTCAACAGACACTGCTCAGGATTTTTAGAATATTATATCATTGTTATGTTAAATGAAATGTCCTAACACTTACCAAACAAAAATAAAACATTCAGCTTATTTTGATTACATTGTTTATATACAAATTAGAGAAGTAATTTTAAGGAATGTGAAATTAATAAAGTGAGAAAAAGTAAAGAAGTCCTTAGCAAACTTCCAAGGGGTAATCAATCAGATTTAAAATGATTTACAATGAGGCAAGACAAGCTTTAAAAAAAAAAAAATAATAATAATATTCGATTTTAATGTATATTAAAATAGAAAAACATTATTTTACATCATAATAATATTTGACAATATTAAATAAATTTTTTTTGATCAAATAAATGCAGCCTTGATGAGCATAAGAAACTCATTTAAAATCATTGTTCTGATCCCAAACTTTTGACTGGTAATGTGTATATATATTTTTTTTGTAGAGCTAGAATCTAAATTAATAAAATCTTCTAACTCCATATTTTATCAGGTAGAAATTGTAAAGACATTTTTTTTTTAATCCTTACAAAGTTATGGAGCCTTCAAATATTGTTATATACAATGGAGGGCCTTGGAATCGAAAAGGTTGAGAACCATTGGTCTGGGGATAATAGTAAAAAAAAAAAAAAACATGAAAATCGTACAAGACTGGGGAAGCTAGGCCTCACATTTCTAATGTTGATTTTAAATCTTGAGTCTCAGTATTGTAGTTAACCTACTTGTTACATAATGTGATCCATTGCTTGCTAATATTTTTTTCTCTTCACAGATTGGTCTTGATTTTACCCCCTGGTTTGCAAATACTGCTCAAGAGCGTGATGAGCAGATAAAAGTCTTCATAAAACAACTTGAAATATCTAAAGAACTGGATTTGCCAGTGTGAGTAGCAACATGACTTTCTATTGGAGAGTAACAGTAAATCATTCAAGCAGCTCAGAAATGGTTACATGGTTTGCTACTTTTTACCATTACTTGGCATAGCAACATATATTGTACATCCTGAACTGACTGTTCATTTCGTAGTTTCATAATTCAGTCCATTCTTTTATCTTAAAGGAACGTACATTCCCGCTCAGCAGCCAAGGTTACCATAGCCACAATGAAAGAACTAGGTAAGAGATAACAAATCATTATGTCTCTGTGACCTTTTTCAGTCGCAGCTGAATTTCTTGCGTAATTCTACTTTTATGTCTTTAGGGATTAGACAAGCATTATTGCATAATTTTGCCGGCAAGCCATCAGTTGCTATGGAAGGGGTTCAGGCTGGATTCTGCTTCTCCTTTCCGCCTGCTGTCAGCAAAAACGAGCAGGTTGGATAAGGATTCTAATTTAATTACCATTATGCTTGTGTGCCATAAAATCATAGATAAGTATGATAAGTATGCAATAAAGACATGAAGCACATATTAAAGAATGACCCAGTTCCACGTCACATGTCATTCACTTCAAAAATTAGTACATTCTGTACATATGATTGTATGTTTGAACCGGAAATTATGTATTATTTAAACCTATGTGACACACATGAGGTTTGGCATAAGTTTTTTTTCACTACTATAATGATACTGTATTTCAAATACAGAGAGCAAAATTAATCAGACAGATTCCACTGGAACACATTTGCCTCGAGACAGATTCTCCAGCCTTGGGGATTGACAAACATGTAAGTCCTAACCTGTTATTATAATCTGATTTTCTGTACGACTGAGATGTTTTGAAGCTCACTGTCTGTGTTTATCTTCTTATTGCCCTAGGTTAGAAATGAGCCCGGAAACATAATGATCTGCTGTGAATACATTGCAAAGGTTAAGGGAATATCTTCAGACGCAGTTATGGAAGTCACAACACAAAATGCCCTTCGATTGTTTTCTAAGTTAAAAAGCTAGAATTATTTTGTTTATATAATTTAATTTTGTTAATAAAGAGCTCACTCGGAAAACAAATGGACTTAAAATTAATGTCTAGCGCTTTCAAGCTTTCTGCAAATTTACTGTAAAAGTATCATAAAAGGATCGATTCGATTAGTGCATGAACCTTTCAGACTGGTTTTGTGAGCTGGATTCAAACTAATTCTCCCTATTAATACATTATTTAAATGTTTTTCATTTGTGTTCCTTTCAGAAGAAAGCCATACAGGTTTTGACATTAAGGGTGATAAATTACATTTGGACATTTTTAAAAAATAAAAAATATGAAATAATCCACTGTTTTATTGCCAGATCGCTTCATTACACGTTTATTGCTGTCTGGAGAAAAACATTTACTCTTCACAGAGGTTGATTGCAGTTCCTAACACCTGATGAGTTTTATCTGGAAGGACAAAAAAGATCGTATTTTACTTTATCATATGTCGTATATAACCTTTATTAGTTAGAGTTGAAGTTTCAAACGCAGTTAAAGCTCGTCTTACAGCTGTCTTCAAAGTGTCTTCGCTCGGGATGTCTGGTGTTGTTGTCGCTGTCCAACCAGGAGGAGCGCAGCTCGGTGCGCGCGGTCTGCAGCGCGCTGAAGTCACAGGTTTTCTGGAGGTGACAAAGGAAGTGTTTTCTTTCAGGTAAATTCCAGAACCTACTGGTTGTCTCCACGCGACACCATGTCTCCCTCTGCATATTGAACTCGTACAGTTGGTCTTGCTTTGATTTTGACATTGTTATTAATCATATGTAGGCTACTCGTTAAGTCGAATTAGCATGTGGCCATTTCAGTCCTTAATGTTTAAACAGCTGTAACCATGGTAACCAGACATGTAGCCTTCCTGTAATGTGTGTCGCCGGAAGTTGTTTGTATATTGCAGGGTTGCCAGCTCTGTGTAACAAAAATAGCCCAAACAAGCCCCGTGGCCCTATCCAAATATCCAAACTCAATGCCACTTCTTCCATACCTAAAATACATATACAGTCAATGTTATGCATTGTACATAATTTCAACTCGAAAATCACCAGTAGTAATCAAAAACAGAAGCTCACAGGCCGCTCCCTCACAAAAAACTCATAATCTAGCGCAGTATTATCATTGGTATATGTAAAATATGTAGATACACCCATGTCAAACCTTTAAACCGCGGGGGAAAAAACAACCCGCGGAAATAGTTTACATATAGCCCAATTCCGCGGGAAAACCGCGAACTTGGCAACACCGATATACTGTATCATTGCAGGTGTTAAAAACAATTTGACCTATTTTTCAGAATTCACCAGTAATTAGGGCTGCGTCGTTGGCTGAATGTTTTTGAACGGACACCTAGACATCAAGAAATAATGTATTAACGTTATTTTAAGATTATTAGGCCTACCTTTAGTCATATTGTATCAACAATATTTTAATGATATGAATTAAAAAAGCAAAAACATTCACTATCCCTAAACATATCCTCTGGCCAAAACTCAGTAGCCTGTAGATTAAAGTATAACTTTAATCATTAACTTAAAGGCTTTTTTACTGTTAAAAATAGGTTTGTCAGTGGAATGAATTCAACACGATTGATGTTATGGTTTCTAACATGTCTTTAAAAAGAACAATACTGAAACAGCATTGTCAAACTCAGTACATGTCTTTAAAAATGGCATTGAACATTATGTAATCTAGCCTGTTTTACACTGTCATGTTAGCTTTGACAGACTATGTTTGTAAAAGACTCCCACATTCCACCAAGCCCAGACTGAACCTAGCCTACACTGATATCGCCTTGACCTTTATGCTATTTTAAAAATATGGAACAAAGAAAAAATAATGTTTTTTATTCACTGCCTCAAGAACAAGAGGTATTACTTAGTCGCAGAACATTATTAGCTGCAAAAGTGACAACTTTTACAGCGTTTTCAGCACTTGTTTTCAGATTGTTCCAGAATGTTAATGTATAATTTAAAGTTTGTGTATAATTTATAAAATGTAAAAAAAAAAATTGGATTGAACAAAACCTATTTAATCCATCCGGTCACAAAGGTTTTAATTTATAAAGCTCTAAAAACCTTACTGACTGATGTTTTAGTGCACTTCCTGCAAATATGGAAAAAAATAAAGGGTCTCAATTAAATATGTGCAGTTTCACATGGTTAGTGCAAATTGTCACATGACCAACTCAGTTTAATTCCTGTTGGCACCTTGAGAAGATGATGGCTGCATCAAAGCTCCAAAACAAAAGTTTAGTAAAGTATGTTAACATAAAGATATGACAAAGATTTTTGGTACACATTATCTTTAATGTGTCTAGTATTAATATATGAATTCACATATATTCAGTTTTGTTGAGTGTGGTCATAGAATGAGTAAACATCTTGATGGTCACAATAGTGACCGGTGGGATAACAGTGAATTTAGGTATACAATATAAATCCAATTGCAGTTGTTAGTGAAGATTGCACTAAAATGTTGCAATGGCAAAATATTGCACTAAATTAAAAGTTAAAATGTTACAAATAAGTTACAATATTGATGTTGTAATACTGGTAGCACTAATATAAAAAAGTTATGATATATGTTACAATAAATTTTTATGACTGCAGAAATATTCAGTATACACATTATCCACCGGACACAATTGTGACCGACCATAAAACACATTTTTTCACACACTTTTCCTAAAAAAAAAAAAAAAAAAAAAATAATATTTATTATTTCAAAGGGTTACTAATGACACATCATTTGGATATTTTCATGTATTGGGGAGGCCAGCCAGACCACCAGCGCTTGGAATATGACATGACTGTCAACCACATAGCTAAAAGATTAAATGGGCATGGGAAATCAGGCACAGACTTTCCCAAAAAAAAAAAAAAAAAAAAGATTGATAATTTCAAAGGGTTACTAATGACATATAATTTTGTTATTTTCATGTCTGGGAAAAATTGGGATTAAACGGTTAAAGATAGGCTACCGCTTCATATGTAGCCTATAACATTATGGGAAAGAAAAAAATTTGCGTAAAACGCCATTCAATGCAGCTCGCATTTTTCATAGTCTACTTTAGCAGTGCAGATGTGCTGTAGAAGCTCTGTAGGGAGATGGGCTACTGTCTGTAGGGCTCGCTCGCCTACTTGCCCCGCCCCATCTGCAGTCTCATTGGTCCTCGCCGAGCATATAAACCCACTTACTGTATTGATCAGGGTAAGCAAATCCGAGGAGGATGTGCGCATCACGCCATCATCACTAACATGCTGCTGAAGCCGGTGGTAGTGATCGGGAACGTGGCCCCAATTCAGTCCGTTAAGTTGTAATTACAGCGTTATTATCAAGTGGCGCATCTGAAAACGTCATCATTATCTCTTTATCTCATACGCTTACCGCTTCAGGAAGAGAACTAGGCTACACATCTAGTCCAACCTGAAATAAACTAGAATTGTTTATGTCTAAGTGAAGGGGTTTATTTTGCCGAAATGGTGGCAGGTGAGTTTCTTCAGGAGCAGCATGTTCTGCCCGACAGCACACCTGACGGCGGTGTCACTGAAGGAAATACAGACGAGGACAGCGGCTACAAGGAGCTTTCCAATGGACCGGTCCATATAACGCTGGATCCGAAGGCGTTGGAACAGGAGCTTCCACCTCCGGACGAAAAAGAGGCGATGCTGCCCGGCGAACAGAATAACAAAGCCCTGGAGACGAGACTCTACTGGAGGCGGTTTGCCGTTCTCGCGGTGTTCAGCCTCTATTCGCTCGTCAACGCCTTTCAGTGGATCCAGTATAGCATCATTACCAACATCTTCATGGACTATTATAATGTATCAAGCATCGCGATTGACTGGCTCTCCGTGGTCTATATGGTCGCGTATGTGCCTTTAATCTTCCCCGCGACGTGGCTGTTGGATAAGAAGGGGCTGAGGATGACGGCGTTGTTAGGGGCCGGACTGAATGCCCTGGGCGCGTGGGTAAAGTGCGCCAGCGTGGGGCCAGGCCTGTTCTGGGTCACCATGACCGCCCAGATCATATGCTCTGTGGCTCAGGTGTTCATCCTCGGCCTCCCCTCCAGAATCGCGTCGGTTTGGTTCGGCCCGAGAGAAGTTTCCACGGCCTGTGCCACAGCTGTGTTGGGCAACCAGGTGTGGCTTGTAAATTATATGCCATTAACGATGAATTTGGTTAAATATTACTCGACATTTGACATATTACCAATGCCACTTGCTTTTGTATTTAAAATTACGTACAGCTAAAGTCAGGTTAACATTATTAATAATTTCACGTTATGTTGTTTGTAGCATTTTCCCTTCTAAAAAAAATACAATGATTTCATAAAAATATCATAGTATCCTCTAAAATAAAAGCTGGAAAATCCAGCTGGATTCAAACTGGACTTTTGCTCTAAACAGGTCTTTTAAGCATTCAGCTGGTTCAAGCTGATAGTCAATTTTTATTTTGCATTATTTTGTAATTATTTCAATAGAGCGACAAAATATATCATCAGGTTTTATTAGTAAAAATAATTTTATTATAACATTATTTTAAGAGACAGGCAAGCGACAACATTATTTTATAATAAAACATATTATGAGATAGACAAGATAATCTTTCATTAATGTTTAACATTAATCATTTTATTACTTTAGAAGATAGAGAAGATAGTTTATTGTCAACTTTTTCTTATAAAATAACATTATTATTTTATAATTATTTTAAAGGTACAGTTCGCCAAAAATGCAAATTGCCATTCCAAACCTGTATGACTTTCTCTCACTCTTTTGTGGAACACAATAGGAGCTATTTTAAAGAATATTGGTAACAAAGCAGTTTCGGTTTCCATGTTATTATTTTGGCGGGAACTATGGTAACCATGGTACATTTTTTTTTTAAGGGTGCTAAGCATTTAAATGAACAGTAATATGAACACTATAAGACTGTAACACTATAACTTGAAGTGTGACCTGAAGTATTTAACAGTGTGTATTTATCATTCTTAAAGTGTCTAGTGATTTATTATTGTTTTATATACTGATTTGTTTATTAAACAGTGTGTAATATGTTTCTTTTTCAGCTTGGTGTAGCCATCGGTTTCCTGCTCCCACCTGTACTGGTTCCCAACACAGCCGACGACAAAGATCTCATGGGCCACAACATCAGCATAATGTTCTATGGAACAGCTGGAGTTTCAACTCTGCTCTTCCTTCTAACAATATTTGGTAAAAACTAGTATCTACATTTCACATTGTTAGAACTTTTTTCCAGCAGTTGAGAGAAAGAGGCAGAGCATAAAGAAATAATTGCAACCGATGCATGTAATAATGCAAATCATGCAATACAGCCTTTTCTCATACAGTCTTCTGCATGCTTTTATGCCATTATAGTTTACAATACACAACCAAGTTGCAACTAGTTGACTTGGAAACATCTTGCACAAAATCTTTGCATAAAATGATGTGTCATCTGTCATCAGAATATGGAAAAGAGCTGTTTTATAAACATAGACAAGAGATTTGTATGCAAGAGTGATTAATATTTTAAAGAGTATCAAAACGAATACAAGTACGTTAACCCCTCATAACAGCTGTAGACATGTTCAGTAGTAGAAGTTCATGTGTGTCTCTCCCATTCGTTTTCTCAGTAATTAAGGACAGACCTCCACTCCCACCCAGCAAAGCACAAGCTGTTCTCTCCACCGGTCCAGCTGAAGACTATTCATACAAGAAATCAATCATCAACCTCTTCAAGAACAAGCCCTTCATTCTGCTCCTCATCAGCTATGGTGAGAAAGACCATTATTTAATGCAAAATTAAAATTCTGTCATCCTTTACTCACACTTATGTCATTCTTAAAACTGTATGGCTTTCTTCTGTGGAACAGAAAAGCAAATTTATTTATTTGAATAATTTTATGTATTTAATTATAATAAATGTAATTTTCAGATAATTTTATATATGTTTATATTTTATTTTTACTTGTGGCAATAATGGATAATTAAAACCTTATTTATTAATTATTTTAATTTTAATTTTAGGGTTAACTGTTCCTTTAATCTCATCTTAATATGTTCCCCGTGCTTTTATTCACACACTATACACCATTTATTATGAGATGGTTAGTTATTTTGTCATGTATAGGACTTATAAACTTTATTATTAACTTTAACTTTTTAACAGTAATAATACAGTATCAGCCTTCTCTAATGCTACAATTTCTGTTTCATTATATAGAAAGTTCTGCACTTCAGCAAGCATTGTCAAATCTTTTTTTTTTTCAACATAATTTATAAAATATTTGATATTGTTTTTAGGCATCATGACCGGATCGTTCTACTCTGTATCTACACTTCTCAATCAAATGATAATTTCGCATTATCCGGTAAGTGACCTTTGATAAACTCGGCATGAAAATGCCACGTGCATGTGTGTAGGAGTCTTTCTGCATCCGTCTCAGGCGCACTTTTTGAAGTGTTTGCCGGGAATGGGCGGCTGGTCACCGCTTTATTGTCCAGGCTCTTGCAGTTCATTAGCCGCTTTTCATGCATGCCTGCTACTCATGACAAAATCCAAATGAAAAGACAAGCACTGTGTACATTCCCAAGTTTGATGTGTCCGAATGTTCTGCAGGCTTAAGTTTAGTGACCACACACAATGTGATATTTCTTACCGCGCATAACACTTCCATATCTGGTTGTGAGGTCCATTTGAAAGACAAAACATTGAAAGTTAGTCAAAAGTGTTGTAGACCAGGCTCAGAAGAATACATTCTGGGCTCGCTTGCAACAAACCCCTTAAGCTATAAATACCCTTAGTTGTAATTCTAAACAAATGATCGCTAAGGGTTTTCTTGACTTAAAGGGGTTTGTTGCAACCAACTACTGGTTAACAAACTGAAGGCCTGTTGAAATATATAGTTCAGTCATGAAACTCTAGATGGCGCATTCTGACGGGGTGTTAACGTAACTGATGATATTCAGAGAGTTAAACGACTTGGCACAAGCTGATTGGTTCATACTGCATATGCAGCCAATGAGCTTACTGCCTTGCATTTATATGGCTGGCTAGCATTCACTTGAGATTCCTGCAGCGCGCTTTCAGAGTTCTCTGAAACCCTCCACCTTCCCCAGCTCCACCTGTATAGATCTGCTACGGGGTTATTTTATATGCTATTTATGCAGCAGCAGTATGTCTTAAATACTCATGGCACCGTATCGCCATATGCATTGGCAGTAGCAAGTTCCTGTACTTGCTTGCAGCAGCAGCAATAATCTACAACTACAGCAATAACCAACAGCAGCAGCAATTCAGCAGCAGCGTAGCAGATCTGTTCCGCCAAGACCAAATACATTAACATTGTCATATCCATCACCATGTTAAATCTTCCGAGAGTTGTCATGATTGAAAATAATATGGAATAAAGAAAAAAATTTCAAGAGCAAGAGGTAGGCCTAACATTAGCTACCAGACAAAAAAATGACAAATTTAGGCTACGTGTTTTCAGCATGTGTTTTTTTTTTTTTTTTAGATTGTTCCAGAATGTTTATATATAAAGTTTGTGTATAGTTTATAAAATGCAATAAATTTGGTTTGAAAATTAAGATACCACTTCTTATGTATGGGGAAAAGAAAAAAGTGCCTGAAGCGCCATTCAACGCAGCTCGCATTGTTTCTAGTCTACTTAGCAGTGTAGATGTGCTGTACTGTAGGGCTCGCTCGCCTACTTGCCCCGCCCCATCTGCATTCTCATTGGTCCTTGCCAAGCCTATAAATCTACTTACTGTAGCGGTCGACGAAGGAAGGCGGAATAAGCAAATCCGAGGAGGATGCGCACATCACGCCATCATCACTCGCATGCTGCTGAAGCCGGTAGTGATCGGAAATGTGGCCCCAATTCAGGCTGATAAATTGTAATTACAGTGTCTTATTTGCGTTATTATCAAGTGGATCATCATCATCTCTTTGTCTCATACGCTTACCGCAACCGGAAGAGAATTACACATCTAGTAAATTTTTATACGAACTAGAATCGTTTATGTCTAAGTGAAGGGTGTTAATTTAGTCGAAATGGTGGCAGGCGAGTTTCTTCAGGAGCAGCATGTTCTGCCTGACGGCGCTGTCACTGAAGGAAATACAAACGAGGACAGCGCCTACAAGGAGCTTTCCAATGGATCGGTCCATATAACGCTGGATCCGAAGGTGCTGGAACAGGAGCTTCCACCGCCGGACGAAAAAGAGGCGATGCTGCCCGGTGAACAGAATAACGAAACGCTGGAGACGAGACTCTACTGGAGGCGGTTTGCCGTTCTCGCGGTGTTCAGCCTCTATTCGCTCGTCAACGCCTTTCAGTGGATCCAGTATAGCATCATTACCAACATCTTCATGGACTATTATAATGTATCAAGCATCGCTATTGACTGGCTCTCCGTGGTCTATATGGTCGCGTATGTGCCTTTAATCTTCCCCGCGACGTGGCTGTTGGATAAGAAGGGGCTGAGGATGACGGCGTTGTTAGGGGCCGGACTGAATGCCCTGGGCGCGTGGGTAAAGTGCGCCAGCGTGGGGCCAGGCCTGTTCTGGGTCACCATGACCGCCCAGATCATATGCTCTGTGGCTCAGGTGTTCATCCTCGGCCTCCCCTCCAGAATCGCGTCGGTTTGGTTCGGCCCGAGAGAAGTTTCCACGGCCTGTGCCACAGCTGTGTTGGGCAACCAGGTGTGGCTTGTAAATTATATGCCATTAACGATGAATTTGGTTAAATATTACTCGACATTTGACATATTACCAATGCCACTTGCTTTTGTATTTAAAATTACGTACAGCTAAAGTCAGGTTAACATTATTAATAATTTCACGTTATGTTGTTTGTAGCATTTTCCCTTCTAAAAAAAATACAATGATTTCATAAAAATATCATAGTATCCTCTAAAATAAAAGCTGGAAAATCCAGCTGGATTCAAACTGGACTTTTGCTCTAAACAGGTCTTTTAAGCATTCAGCTGGTTCAAGCTGATAGTCAATTTTTATTTTGCATTATTTTGTAATTATTTCAATAGAGCGACAAAATATATCATCAGGTTTTATTAGTAAAAATAATTTTATTATAACATTATTTTAAGAGACAGGCAAGCGACAACATTATTTTATAATAAAACATATTATGAGATAGACAAGATAATCTTTCATTAATGTTTAACATTAATCATTTTATTACTTTAGAAGATAGAGAAGATAGTTTATTGTCAACTTTTTCTTATAAAATAACATTATTCTTTTATAATTATTTTAAAGGTACAGTTCGCCAAAAATGCAAATTGCCATACCTGTATGACTTTCTCTCACTCTTTTGTGGAACACAATAGGAGCTATTTTAAAGAATATTGGTAACAAAGCAGTTTCGGTTTCCATGTTATTATTTTGGCGGGAACTATGGTAACCATGGTACTTTTTTTTTTTAAGGGTGCTAAGCATTTAAATGAACAGTAATATGAACACTATAAGACTGTAACACTATAACTTGAAGTGTGACCTGAAGTATTTAACAGTGTGTATTTATCATTCTTAAAGTGTCTAGTGATTTATTATTGTTTTATATACTGATTTGTTTATTAAACAGTGTGTAATATGTTTCTTTTTCAGCTTGGTGTAGCCATCGGTTTCCTGCTCCCACCTGTACTGGTTCCCAACACAGCCGACGACAAAGATCTCATGGGCCACAACATCAGCATAATGTTCTATGGAACAGCTGGAGTTTCAACTCTGCTCTTCCTTCTAACAATATTTGGTAAAAACTAGTATCTACATTTCACATTGTTAGAACTTTTTTCCAGCAGTTGAGAGAAAGAGGCAGAGCATAAAGAAATAATTGCAACCGATGCATGTAATAATGCAAATCATGCAATACAGCCTTTTCTCATACAGTCTTCTGCATGCTTTTATGCCATTATAGTTTACAATACACAACCAAGTTGCAACTAGTTGACTTGGAAACATCTTGCACAAAATCTTTGCATATAATGATGTGTCATCTGTCATCAGAATATGGAAAAGAGCTGTTTTATAAACATAGACAAGAGATTTGTATGCAAGAGTGATTAATATTTTAAAGAGTATCAAAACGAATACAAGTACGTTAACCCCTCATAACAGCTGTAGACATGTTCAGTAGTAGAAGTTCATGTGTGTCTCTCCCATTCGTTTTCTCAGTAATTAAGGACAGACCTCCACTCCCACCCAGCAAAGCACAAGCTGTTCTCTCCACCGGTCCAGCTGAAGACTATTCATACAAGAAATCAATCATCAACCTCTTCAAGAACAAGCCCTTCATTCTGCTCCTCATCAGCTATGGTGAGAAAGACCATTATTTAATGCAAAATTAAAATTCTGTCATCCTTTACTCACACTTATGTCATTCTTAAAACTGTATGGCTTTCTTCTGTGGAACAGAAAAGCAAATTTATTTATTTGAATAATTTTATGTATTTAATTATAATAAATGTAATTTTCAGATAATTTTATATATGTTTATATTTTATTTTTACTTGTGGCAATAATGGATAATTAAAACCTTATTTATTAATTATTTTAATTTTAATTTTAGGGTTAACTGTTCCTTTAATCTCATCTTAATATGTTCCCCGTGCTTTTATTCACACACTATACACCATTTATTATGAGATGGTTAGTTATTTTGTCATGTATAGGACTTATAAACTTTATTATTAACTTTAACTTTTTAACAGTAATAATACAGTATCAGCCTTCTCTAATGCTACAATTTCTGTTTCATTATATAGAAAGTTCTGCACTTCAGCAAGCATTGTCAAATCTTTTTTTTTTTCAACATAATTTATAAAATATTTGATATTGTTTTTAGGCATCATGACCGGATCGTTCTACTCTGTATCTACACTTCTCAATCAAATGATAATTTCGCATTATCCGGTAAGTGACCTTTGATAAACTCGGCATGAAAATGCCACGTGCATGTGTGTAGGAGTCTTTCTGCATCCGTCTCAGGCGCACTTTTTGAAGTGTTTGCCGGGAATGGGCGGCTGGTCACCGCTTTATTGTCCAGGCTCTTGCAGTTCATTAGCCGCTTTTCATGCATGCCTGCTACTCATGACAAAATCCAAATGAAAAGACAAGCACTGTGTACATTCCCAAGTTTGATGTGTCCGAATGTTCTGCAGGCTTAAGTTTAGTGACCACACACAATGTGATATTTCTTACCGCGCATAACACTTCCATATCTGGTTGTGAGGTCCATTTGAAAGACAAAACATTGAAAGTTAGTCAAAAGTGTTGTAGACCAGGCTCAGAAGAATACATTCTGGGCTCGCTTGCAACAAACCCCTTAAGCTATAAATACCCTTAGTTGTAATTCTAAACAAATGATCGCTAAGGGTTTTCTTGACTTAAAGGGGTTTGTTGCAACCAACTACTGGTTAACAAACTGAAGGCCTGTTGAAATATATAGTTCAGTCATGAAACTCTAGATGGCGCATTCTGACGGGGTGTTAACGTAACTGATGATATTCAGAGAGTTAAACGACTTGGCACAAGCTGATTGGTTCATACTGCATATGCAGCCAATGAGCTTACTGCCTTGCATTTATATGGCTGGCTAGCATTCA